CTATCTCATATGCCACGACGCTTCGCATCGCGACGCTTCGCCTCGCTTCGGCACACTTCATCTTCCACGGCGATTGACAATCTCCGTCTCTCTTCCTGTTCTCTTCTCGTAATCTCTTCCGCTTTTTCTTCTCTATCGGGATTATAGATTTACGAAGGGGCTGCCCATTACACGCTGCGTAACGGGCATGTAATACAAATGCGATTCGCGCGAAATATGGAACTCGACAGTGTCGTGGTAAAATCCTTGGGAGAATTTGATTTGTATATCGGGACAGGGAGGTGGAAAAATTCGATCAGTCGTTTGCGTGGAAAGTGGCGTTTAGCCTGGCATCGAGCGTTAAAGCAGTTTTCGCGAAGCTTTGCCAATGGCACGATGACGAGGGAATAGGGCGAATCGAGGAAGGGGATGGAAATAATAAGGGCAGCGAGAGCAAAGATGTAACGAGAAGAAAGTAAATCGTTACGGAGGTAAAGGAGAAAAAAGGAAAGAACGAAGGAGATTTGCGAGCTTACCATCATCCTATATTCGATCGAGATCGTTCCAAGTTTCGTAAATCTTCGAGAATATCGGAAGATAGCCAAAGGCTCTTTAAAGTCTCCATTCTTTTTCTCGCCTAACCGCTGGAATTTATAGTCTTACGATCGATTTTACGACGCGTATATCCAAAGGACGGTGCCAGCTATAACGAACGATTCGATGTATACAGGTCTCGGGCACTAAATTAACCGAAAATCATCGGATACTAACCGGAAATGAAAAATTTCACCGACGCCAACTACCTTCTTCCGCTTGCAGAAACCTTTCCTCGAGTCGATGTTCGAGTGGATGATCGACAGATGGAAGAACGTCGAGAGTTTCTTGTTTTCGGAAAGGTTGTCCGACGCGAACTCTGAAACGTCGGATAAACGTCGAGAAGCCGGCAAAGGACGAATGGTCAAAGGTGAATCGATTAACGAAGAATCATTCACCATTGGTAAACGATGAAATAACGGAGGGAGTAAAAGGAAGGAAAGAGAGAAGAAATGGCAGGTTGAGAAAGGACTGAAAGGAGCGAGGAGAATCGATAAGAAGAGAGTGGAGAACACGTTTCCGCGAGGTTCCGGTGAAGCGTGTGGTGAAGAGGAGGTAGTCGAGGAAATAGCGAAGCGAAGAGAAAGTACGTGATCCGGAACCTAGTACCGCCTATTGGAAAATCTAGCTATTATACGATGCGTCGTCCTCTAGGAGTGGAATCGACTGACCCCTCGCCTGCTAAGACCGTGCTTTATTTTGCCTTCTCGGAGAACCCATCCGAGGGAAGACGGTATTTTTATTCAAATTTCATTCGATCCGTTCTCGAACTTTCCCTCTACCGGCTTCAGCCGGGATCGTATTATGCGGCTTCTCTCGAGTAAAATCCTCTCGCTCTAATGCCGAGACTTTGCAAATTTATTCTATTTGCCAAAAGCCGATCGTCGCTTCTATAAATTCGAATCTTCCTTCTTGACACTCCGTTCGATGCTTATCGTGGTCGGTGCGTCGCGCGAAATGTCTTCCTCGTCTTCGTAATGCACGCGTCTAAACGATCATTCACGCGAACAAACGTCGCGAGTCGAAAACAAGCATCCAAAGAGATTACCTCGATGTCAGCGCGTGGATTTCGAGAATTAGCCATGCATCGGTATAGGAAGCGGAATAACGGCGCGAGTAATCGAGTAAAGATCGTACAACGATTTCGTCGACTCGATGACACTGCAGGGTAAACGATCCTGACTCGTGTGAACAGACTGACGCTATAGACACGCGTGGATCAAAAGAAGAAGAAGAGGAGGAAGAACAGCGTGGTCTTCTAGTTCCTGAATAGGCAACACCTGCGGCAGTCTCGTACACGATAAGAGTTCCAGGTGTCGATGCCAATGTCAGTGCTGAGTTATCGTCTGGTTGTTTGCCACCAAGTCGACCTATGCTTTGCCAAAGGCGTTCAATGGCCAGAGAAAAGTGTAGACGAGACTCGAACGAGAAAGGCGAAACGAAAGCCAAAATTAGATACACGAGCCGAACTTTAAATAGGGAAAAGGGAAAAAAAGAAACGAAGTAATTTGCCCGTTTATTTTGTTCAAATTATCGTGGCATCTATCGCGAAGGTGAGGCGAAGGTCGCGTGAAAGTATCGCAAATATCAAGAGAATCGTTGCGTGTTCTATGTTTAAACGTGTAATACGTATAATTTTATCGGATACCGAGTACTGTAAATATAATACTTAAATACCGCATCGTCCGTGCGATACGTAGACGTATGATCGTGTTATAATAAAACGAATAAACATTGCCGTCTCGGGAAAAAAGGTAGTTTAAGGAAAAAACGAAATTCCGCGATTGGTGGATAAAGATACGTAACGACGACTATAAAAGACTGGAATAGCGAAATAACTTGAAATGGAAAAAGAAAACGATGAAAGAGAGAGAAAAAGAGAGAGAGAGAGAGAGAGAGAGAGAGAGAGAGAGAAGAGCGTGGGACAAGCCGCGAGCATTCGTTGCGACAGTAGTTGCAGCAGGAGAAGAGTTGCTAATGATTCGCTAACGAGATACGTGCTCGGGCTGTTTCGTACCGAAACGAAAGAAAAACCGACTACCTTAGAAATAAGAGAGAAGATCTCTTCCTCTCGAGACTTCCTCTCTACCTTCCCCTTCTCTGTGCATCACCGCTGACGAGCTTCGTCTTTGTCTTTATCTCGTCGTCTTTTCCTACGATTTTCTTCTTCTTTTTATTTTTCTGTTTTTTCTTTTTTTTCTTTCTTTCTTTTTCTCTCTGGTCCCCTACTTATTTCATTACACTGACGGTGGCTCTATGTATCTACCGTTGTGTACCTTATATGTGTGTATTTAAATATTGTCTCGCTCCTTCGCGAGCAATACGTAAAAAAGATTAATCTACGCGTGTACTGCACGCGAGTAGAATGCCGTATGAACGGAACCACTAAATTCTGATAATTTCGCGTCGGTCGTATAAGGTTAAGATTACTAGAAATGCAAATCGCCGCGACCATCTCCAAGTGTCCCACGTCAAGTGAATATCTAGCGAAAATACACCAACGAGAATTCCTCGATGCAACGATTTCTCTCTCTCTCTCTCTCTCTCTCTCTCTTTCTCTGTTCCTCCCTCGTCCTGCCGCCATCGCTGCCACCCACCATCCCTCGATCTAGGCTAGTTTTATTTCCAACCGCTTTACCTTCGAACTTTTATTTACGTGTCGCCGGAAAAGCGTTCTCGTGTCTCGACATCGACGAGACCTCTCTCTGACTCTGCGTCTGCATGGATATTCCGATGCCTAGAGTTTCCAAGGGCCGCGTTTCCATTAAAATCTTGCCAACCAAGGATCTTTGCGAATCTATCGTCGTCTCGATCTTTGCCTGCGAACATGTATGTATTTATGTTCGTCTCGATCGACGAACCATCGAGTTTCTTTTCGTGTTTCGCTACGTTACCATGTCTTCGCGTATTCTATTCCATCAATTCCGATACTTGCTTCTAACCGATAATCGTTAAACGCTTTCAAATTTATAGAAAAAGAAAAGAAAAAGATGAAGAGAAGGAAAAGCGAACGCGTGCGAAATGTTTCGTTGTACCTCTGACACGTTTTAAACTTTCCTTTCTCTACGGATAAATGACGAATGTTCCAAACACTGGCGAAAACATGAACGTTACCGAACGATCGACAATCATTCATGTTTTCGCCAATGTCGTTCGATGAACATTCGTATTCATTTGTCACAACCGTGACATACACCGAGTAAAAACGATTTTCCGTACATGTTGCAACTGAATCACACCGCTGTGTAATGTTCGTTACCTCCAAAGTTTCCAATGCTTCGATTTCAAAACGATTCGTCATTCTCTAATTACCGAGATAAGTCCATTTCGTTTTTCCTTATTTGCCCTTCTTCGACGTTATATACGTTATACGTACATATATCGGAACCATCGCCACTTGTACCACTTTACGACAAACATTTCGAAAATATCACATTGCGTTCAAATATTTTTCGCATTTCGCAACTATTGTCGTCTAATCGTAACGATTCGTTTTAATATACAAATAAGTATTCGCTATGAATCATTTTCCTTGAATTTCCTTGAATTTCCTTGAATTTCCTTGAATTATAGTCTTTGAAGTAAAGTGACATTTCATCGAGAGCCCTCGTTGACGAATTTTAAGTGTGTCCCCCAGTCGGAATTCTTTTCCCTTATTTCTTCCTATTCCTGCGACTTTTAAAAAGTCTGAAATATGGTAAAACTTTTAACCCACCGTTCTCCGTTTCCAACCATCTATTGCATTCCTTATACATATTCCTTAGCTCGATTCCAAAATAAAATATTCTCCGTCTAAATCCACCGAGTCGCGTCAAGGTAACAAAGTTTTCTACCACCTGTTAAAAATCGAATTGAATTATTTGAAACTACGTCGGCGAAAAAAGTACATGCTAATGAAGGAAACGAACAAGGATGGGGAAACCTGATATACATAGGTAAGCACGACGTTATGTCGAATAAACGAAAGTCTCTAAGAAGTATCCGAGCCAAAACAAAGACAAGTCGAGATCTATGTAAACGGTTCTAGAGAAGGAACAAATAAAAGGAAATTACCTTCGATAAGTTGCTCCTTATTGCAATTCACTAACCATTTCAACATCCGAGTATTTTAAATTCACAAATTAACTTTACAAACACGATGCTATTTCCGAAATTTTAACCGAATCCGACCAAGTTTGTGGTTCAATGTTTATCGAATGTTACACGTTTATACGAAAAGAAAACCGATTTCATCGGAATCTGTAATGCAAATCGTTAATGCGAAATAAAAAAAAAATGTTCATTTAGGATATTAGGACAGGGGTTCTTTTTCCGATACGTACGGACATGGTAAACGAACGCCGGAGTAGAGTAGGGAAATTTGTAGCCACCTAACTCATACCAACCAACGCCCATGAATGACGTCAACTTTCATGCGTATAGTGAACGAACATTTGGCGTGGTGATTCTCTCTTTATTAATTTCTCGAAATGACAGTTACAAACGCGATTATCTGTGTTAGTTTACTATTTATTTTTACGATAACAGGTAAACGGACACATTTTCGAACAGAAATAGCTTAGACGTATCCCTGTGTTAACTAAAGTGAAACTTGTTTATAAAGTCTTACGGAAAGACGCATTTGTTTAAATATATACGTTTGCTAAAATTTCAAACACATAACATCTTTTTCTTTTCGAGGCAATGTAATCAGAGTTACATAGGTAACTGCACTAACAAGTTTATCGAATAAAAGCTACGATTCACAATATTATTACACTGAGTTTAAGGTTATAAAACGATATTAGTTTCTATCAGTATTCAATTTGTATAAATAAATTTTAGATACTCGAGCAATTCGTTGTTACCAATGTAGTAGTGATACTGACCATAAAGGTGAAGATTTGTGCGGAGCATATAAAAAATTTGATAAAGAGAAAAATATCGCTACGGATTGCAGCAACGAAGAGTCACACGTGCCTGGCACATTCTGTGTTAAAATAACACATCAAGGTCCTCGTGGTTTCATTTGTGAGTAACATTTTAGAAAATTCTTTATTCTTTTTATATTTAATCACTTCCAACGAGTGTAAACATACGGCGCACTTATATTTGTGTTGTTTTCATTTGCCTTCGATGAGTTCATTATTTATATTAATTTTTAAAGGGGACGGTAGATGGCGACAGGTGATTCGTCGATGTGCTTCTGTAGCCAGTACGGGTGTAACGGGTGTTTGTAATTGGGGGGTATACGAAAATGGAGTGTATTGGGAAGAATGTTCCTGTTCGGAAGATTCTTGTAACGCAGCATCAACTTTATCATCGTTCTCCATAACGATCTTATTAATTTTAGGTGTCTCGATTACCATATTTTCTTTAAATTAAATATATAAAATATTAGAGACAGCAGTAAATATAAGTAATCTGAAGTTCAGAGGAACATATACCGTGTTCAAGTTTACTGTAAGATGATGTAATCTGATATGCATTTTACATTTATGTATCAAATGCATCATCACTTTATTGTACAAAAGTAATTTGTTTGTTCATATAAGTTTAGTCAATGATGTTGATTTAGTCAATGATATTGTACAATTTTATTAATTCATTACGAAGCGTTATCATTTTATATCGAGCAATTACATAAGTATTTTATACAAAATTTATATCTAAGGTTATTGTATTGTAACAGAAATGCGACAAAGAAGGAGATATCCGTCCATTTTAAATTCCTCCATTTTAAATAAAATGCGAGAAAAATAAATAAAAATATATATTTTTTATTAAATGTATTATAAAGTTTGATAAATAAACTAATTTTTCACATTTTATTTTTTTAGCGAATTTGACGAAATGTTGTTAATATAATTTCTCTTTAACTATATTTACACTTTCTATATGTACATTTGTATTTTAAATAATAGCAATAAAATACACTAATTAATGTATGTATATCGTTAATACATTTTATTGAGTATCTATATTTGTTACATCTACGTATATACGTATTGCGCATGTATTAATATAATACACACGCTAGAAAAATATGAGTCGATATTTATTTTAAATAATACTATTGCAATTAAATAAAATTTTCTAAATATATATATGTATGTATGTACGTTTAATGTGATTACATGCTATATTGACACGTGGGTTTGGTATACAAAAGTCGAATCGAGTTTAATTGTAAATTATATTGGTACTTCTGATCATTGTAGGGAATTTTATTTCCATAATTGTTAATACTTTGAATATACTGGAACAATTTACGCATGCTTTATACTTCCCCTCTCGCACTGTTGTATGCAATCGTTCTTTCGTTCATAAAGGTTCGAGTCGGAAATTTGATCAATGTTTAAAGTCACATGTGATATCAATGCAAAAGAGGTTAGTGCTTATTAGCAAGCCAAGGAATTTGCTGGTGAGATTAAAGTAAACTACTATAAACAATGAATGTAGCGGATGGAGTTGGATATACACGATTAGAGATACTTGTAATTGTGGCAAGAGTATCATTTATCGCTGCTTTCGGATTTGTCGGTATGAAATGGCTTATGAATCATCTTGATCCCACGAACAATGCAAAAAAGAAGGCTAGGAAAAAGGTTATACATTAATCCTCTGATATATTTTAAAATTACGTCTTACATAACCTTGCACTTGCTAGAAAAATAACCTTAACTTTTATGTATTTTCTACGGAATAAATTTCATTTCGATATTAAATGTTCTACAGGCGCGAGAACAGTTACAAAAATTAGCTAAAGCGGATAACGTTTTGTGGTCAGTAGACATGGATCAATTAACAGATTATGAAATGATGATAGCTAATCACATAGTGGATCCTGAAGATATTCATGTTTCGTGGGAAAGTATCGCCGGTCTTGAACACATTATACAAGAACTCAAAGAAACTGTTATATTACCTATACAAAAAAAGGAATTATTTGAAGATTCTCAATTAACGCAAGCACCAAAGGTATTTAATTATATATTGTTAAACAGTTTCTCATTATAGACGATATTTAAATTTTAGGGTATACTGTTACATGGACCTCCGGGTTGTGGCAAAACTATGTTAGCTAAAGCAACTGCTAAAGAGGCTAAAACATGTTTTATTAATTTAGATGTAAGCATCTTAACTGATAAATGGTACGGTGAAAGTCAAAAATTAACTGCAGCTGTTTTTTCATTGGCTGTGAAACTTCAACCATGTATAATTTTTATTGACGAAATAGGTCAGAGAAAAGATAAAATGTTACACTGTGCGTTTTTTGTTATTATCCATATTTTAAAGTAATTTGCATTTTCATTCCTCAGATTCATTTTTAAGAGTACGCAATTCGCAAGATCATGAAGCAACAGCCATGATGAAAGCTCAGTTCATGTCCTTTTGGGATGGACTAATAACAGATCCTTCTTGCACAGTTATATTAATGGGTGCTACTAATCGACCACAGGATGTAGATAGAGCTATTCTACGACGTATGCCAGCTACTTTCCATATTGGTTTGCCAGTAAATATACATTGCATGTTTGTATATGAAACATTGTATCTATGCTATGCACTTAACATATAATGTTTATGTTTATATATTTCAGAACGAGCAGCAACGAATGCAAATTTTAACATTGATACTAGATCATGAACCAATAGCTGAAAATGTAGATATAGCAAAATTAGCGAAAATAACAGACAATTTTTCTGGATCAGATTTGCAAGAACTTTGTAGAAACGCGTCTATTTATCGTGTTCGAGATTACTTACGGATTCATACACAGTTAATACTTATCTCCGGTCATTCATATACAAAACAATTAATATTGAAACTTACAGTGATCTTTTCTTATTACAGAGATGCAGGCACTGCCACTACTGACGATGAAGAATATCATGACACAGTACGACCTATAACAATGGAAGATCTTCTTACGTCATACAAAAAGTTGAAAACATCTAAAATATATACGGGTACTTATAATGTTCTTAAAACAGATGTAGATTAAACAAAAACTTATATTATATATCAAGTCATGTGAAATTTTGCATTTCCTAAAAGAAGAGAAAAAGAAGGATGAAAGAACATGACTCCGTAATAATATTTTTGCTCTTGGGTGTTTAAAAATTATTGTTTCTTCAAAAGTAAAGTTGTGAGTGGGAAATTTAGATATTGATGAATAATTAACAATACTGTGGACGTTGACAAAACAAACACGTCGACAAAGAAAAGAATGCACAATGTATATAACATAAATCTATGTTCAGTAACAGTACAGATATGTATTTAAAGAAGGAAAAGAAATTTAATTACGATTTAAATTACTTCGTTTGTATACAATGCATAAGTTCAATAGTATTTATGAAATTAAAATAATATAAGAAATCTATCATTTTTTTCAGACGTACATTGATAAATTTTATTAAAAACTAAACAAATCTTCCAACATTTATATCTTGATATTTTATACCATCTGTGAGTAAGTGTATGGATGAGTGTATTTATTTGTGTATTCATGTTCCGAATAGTATAACGAAAATTAATCGATATGTCTTAATTATTATTATGTAAATTCGTTCGTGACTTGGTACATGTGAATGTTTGAACTTATATATTTATCACTGTGAAGATAAGAATTTATAATTGCTGTTCATAAATAAGTAGATATTTCGAATCATTTATATTGATTAAGGTTATGTTATTATAATGACTAAGATGTTATTAATTACATCCTTTGTTACAAAGCAAATGATACAAAAAATATAGCATATCGTGGAAGAGACACATATTAAATTTCACACAGATTTTGATTCTAAAATATAATCAAATTAAAGTTCTTTTGCATTATATTTGCATGAAAGATAACCGTTGAATCGAATTAGTTTAAATAGTCTGTATATCATTAATGACGATTTGTAATATAAATGAGGAAAAAAGTGCAATTGTTGGTTAATAAATATGAATAAAATTTGATTTTAAGATTTAAAACGTTGCACGAATTCAAACTTTGAAGTTCGATACAAATATTTCGTAAGAAGAAAGAGGAAATGTAAGAAAAAAATAACGCATGCGCAAAGCGAAAAATACCGACAGAGTACTTTACAGAACAATGAAATAAAATCGGAATAAGATTTTTAAGATAAGAAAACCTAGCTTTTATTTTGTTCTTTCCTTCTTATTTTAATTGATAAGAAATGGTAGTAGAATCGGTGAAGTACTAATAAGATACGAAAAGGGAAAAGAGGAATACTATTACCGACAGCGGTAGTGAGAAGCATAAATAGACGCGATATAAACGCGTCATTGTGAATGGCGCTTCTAGTAACAAAGGTGGCTGAGGGAGATTTTCCATTTTATTATAGGATATAAACTGTGTTTAAAATGAATGTTACAAAGAATACTTCTGTTCGTTAATTGAACTTATCTATTCCCTCATTATTTCTCTAATTCATCTTTGTTAATGATTTAACGAAGAAATGAACATAAACAGACGAACAACGGTCTCGATCGAATCCCGATACAATCATCTGTAAAATTCTGTCTAGCATCACAACGGTTCGTTCGCAAAGTGGACAACCATTCTGCAACAACCGCGATGTATAATCTTATGCATTAGTGGTGAGTGTCCGTATCGCGTGTGTGTGTTTATCTATGTTGGCAAATTAAGGATGCAACATAGAGATTGTGCTGTTCCTCACGGCTGCATTCATGAATATGTGCGTTTATTGCATCTGTATACATATGTCCTCTATCCAAAAACCACTTTACTTTTATGATAGAATGTGGTTTGAGTTCATGTTACTACTTTGACACGATACCACGGTTACGACACCAAAATGTGATTCTTCTGTAAATGAAAGTCTGTGTACGAGCTTACAGTTTTATTGGTGTGATTAAACGAAACTTGCCGATCGTAAAGAAATTCGCCTAACAAAATTCAACGGATCACTCGAGGGATTTTTATCTATATTAACTTTATTCTTTAGAAATTCACCGTAACTGGGAGTGCCGCTAGATCCCAGTTGAACATGCTCCGAAAGGACTGGAGTGAATTTTACGATATATGCGAAAAAAGATTGCTTTTTTACTTTTTGAAAGCAGTATGGTATCTTGAATGATTTATTTGAAATTCTATGCAACTCTTTTATAAACGATATGTGACCATTGAATTAAGAAGAACACGAACAATGCATCGGTGAAACTGGCATGAAAATGTACCGTGGTGTTAAGTGGCCTCTGTGATGTATTGCGAACGGTGCTTAACCTAACTTTTCATCGACGCTTCTACACGGCGTTTTCTTGCGAGTAATGTTCTTTCGATAACGAACTTGTAACCAAGTGATCATAAATCGCGAATGTTTATCGTTTATCATTTCTTTTCTTTCTTTTTTCCTCTATGTATCAAGTGCGATTCTTTTTTACTGCTTTCGTATACTTTTTTAATTTATCATAAAACATGAAACTGTGATCATTATTTTGCAAAACTCCAAAAATGCCTTTTATTGACTGTACTTCTGAGTTTCTTGAGGATCGTATGAAGATTAAGTTCACGTTATTTATGCGAGTATGTTATTAACGGTTTTGAGATTAACGTTTATGTTCAAATTGAAATACAAATTTTTTCTAATTTTTTTTTTTGTGTTCCTTCATTGTGATTTTCGTATTACTTACTAGTCTTCTGTAACGTATTTCCTGATGTTTGCTCTAAAGGTACAAATAAAATGTACGAATGTGTCTATGTATATATGTGCATATACGAATATATA